CTTGGGAGGGGGAAGATGGGGAGATCCAGGGGCAGCAAAGGATGTGGGACACGCAGAGATGCTCCCGGGGGCAGAGCGAAACGGGGATAAAGAGCCAAAAACTAGGACAAGTGAGTGAGAGCGCGTGGGAGACCTTCAGTCCTCCACAACAGCCCTGACACAAAAGGAAAAGATGCTTTGACAGAGGGACGGTGATTAGCAACAAAAGAGAGCCGGGAAGGAGCGCATCAGTCAAAGGAGCCGTGAGCGCGGGCGAAGCGAGGGAGGGTTTCCATTTCGTGCCGCTCGTCTCCTCCGCTCTGCCGCTTCGGGGAGGCTCTCCCGGCTCCCCACGTGCCTCTTAGAAGGTATTATCTAAACCTACGTTTGCTTCTAGAAGGAACAGCTGCTCCCACGGGGGAAAAGGTGTGGACAGAGCAGTAAAGCAGGGGGAGCGTCGTGCTCGGCGTGGAACTCCAGCTCATGGCTTCACGCGTGACCAACGCCTGCACATCCTCTGCCACCAGTGGGCAGATCCCTTTGCCCCTCCTCCCTCCCAGGACCACTGGCTTTGGAGGCACAGGGGACAGGCTCAGCCCCACAGGTGAGATGATGGTGGCTGCAGGGACTGAGCCTTCCCCTCTGCTCACAGGGAAGGTGCTTTCCCTGCGCCAAGGCAGGAGAACGGCCGCAAAAAGTTCTCCTTGTCGTCCCGTGAGTGATGGGGGGCTTGTGGCATCAGAGGAAAATTAACTGGGCAGAGTTTGGTGCTTGAAACAAAGCCGGCTCACGTGCTGCAGCCCCTCTGCTGCCTTTATCTCGCCGACACACACCCTGGCAGTGGTGATCCCAGCACAGGGAGAGCTGCCACCGGCAGTGCCACCTCTGCCCCCGCCACCCTGTGCTACCTGTGCCCACAGCCCCCAGACTCCGCCGAGCAGGTAATTAACTCTCAGACAAAGGCAGGGATTTGGAGATTAACCTGGGCTCGGGAAAGAGTGGGAAAACTCATTTACACCAAACAAAAGGGGAGGGGTGATTAGTTGCTTCAGTGACAACAGCAAGAGCCAGATAGGGCCAGGGAAACTGATAAAGAAGCAGGAAAGCGCTAATATCCCCCAGTTGCCTGCTTTTTGCCTTTTTTTTTTTTTTTTTTTTTTTTTTTTTTTTTTTTTTTTTTTTTTTTTTTTTTTTTTTTTTTTTTTTTTTTTTTTTTGTTCCTTCTTTCTTTCTTTTTAAGCACTAAAATTCCACCATTTTCTATCATGCAAATTCGTGTGCCTAAGTGAGATTAAACTCTGGCAGGCGCTGTGCCTCCTTCCCCAAGTCCATTTCCCGCGCTGAGATAAGGCCAACTTCCCTTAATGCATCTTACAAGGCAGTGGGAGTGTTTTGCAGACACACATTGGAGACGGCTTATTATCAATACAAATAAGAGCTTTCCAGATATCGGCCTTCTCCTCCTCCCTCCCCTCTCTCTTTTAAACCCAGGAACCCGGAGAACGGCTTAAATAGCTGAAGTGTCCTGCAGGGAGCAGGGAGAAGAGGGAGCTCATTTGCCTGAGCTGCTGCAAGAAGTGGGACTTGCTAAGGAAACCAGAGTGGGATGCAGGAGATGAGAGGAAGGGAAAGCATCCCTCCTCGGAGGTCAACAAGGCCTCAGTCCTGTTTCTCACTCTGCATTTCTGCCTCCATCCAACTTCAGAGCTTCTCTATTTCAAGTGGGGCTTCCCTGGATTTTGTCTCTTTGGATTTACACCCACAAACACCTCACTCTCCCCAGGGTCCAAGGCAGACTCCTGCAAACACAGGCAGTGCTGCTTCCCCCTGCCTTGACTGGTCTTATGGCAACTCCTCCTGAGAAGGAATGAGTGCTGAAGGAATGAGACCACGTTCCAGACCCTGCTGATGACATGGATGCTCCCTGAGCCTCTCATTTTAGGCCTGTCTGGAATCTGGGAGAGAAGATCCAGGTGCTAAGAACCTTCTTGTCCCTTTGGCAGCTCTGTTGCTGGCTCACATCAACTTGGCATTGCCAGCCTGACCCCATTTAGAGCAGTCCTCAAAATAGCAGGTCTGAACTTTGATGCATTCAGTGCCAAGGGTCTGTTGTCTCATTCCTGGGCTCATTTGTCCCACATTAGCACAGAGGCACCGACCTGCTATTCCTGGATCAGCAGCAATCACCTCTTCCCTTTTGTACCAGGATTTCAAGACTGACAAGTGTTTCTGAAAGCCCGACCGATGACGAGAAGTGGGAGAAACAGAGCTTGGATGGTTTCAGAAAGAAGGTGGCTACAGGATAACAACCTTCCCAAAAGCAAAAGGTTATTGCAGAGGACACTGATCAATTGTTCCCTCCCTCCCCCAGGAATAGGCTGAGAAAAATTCCACTTCATTTGCAACAATGAAGGTTTAAGTTAGATATTAGCTATACATTTTCTAATTATAAAGGTAGCGAAGCAGTAGAATAGATCGTCTGGGGACACTGAAGAACCTGCTTTGTTATAGATTTTCAAGAATAGCTTTCACAAGTGTTTGGCAGCGATTGCCTCTGCCTGGTTGCAGGGGGATGGGCTAAATTAGCTCTTGAGGTGCCTTCTACCCACCTATTTTGGGATCTTGGCCATCAATAGAGCCAACCTAGAAAAGAATGTGCAGCAGTCTGGCCATCCTTGGTTCTGGGTGTTTCCAGCTGATTCCCTCCCACTGCCTTAGGGGACTATTCCCAACCCTTATACCCTAAAGGAAGACACTTTTCCTACCCCCTACCCCTCTCCTGTTTTTTGTTCTTTCCCCCATATCACCATTTCCTTCCAGCAGCCCTTGGCCAACATGATGCCCCAGAACTCCTCACTCCCTCCATCCACAGTTGTTTCCCAGCCATATTCCCTAAACCTGCAGACAAGGAGGGATGCAGAGCATGGCCTGAGGGTGCCTGGACTCTGGCTGATATGCACCCAACCTGCCTGCCTGGGGGAGCAGCAGGCTGCTGAAATCCTGGCTGGAAGGGGAAGAGCTCTTTGTCCCCCATAGCCAGTCCCTTTGGAGAGCACAGCCTGCCCCAAGGCACGATTTAATTGCATCCTGAGAGGCTGGAGTGCTCCTGCCTCCAGAGCTATGCCCTCAGGCCCTTTCCTGGTGCAGCAAGGGGAAAGTCAGGACCTGCTTGGAGCAACCTGAACACCTCCCTCTTTCTGGCTGCACCTGGACTAACCCTGTTTAAAAGGGGACATTCCCTTTCCCTCTTCCTCTCACCGCATCTCCTTTCCTATCAGGCTGCAGGAAGGGACAAAAGGTCCCAGAGCCATGTGCTTAAGTTGGCACATCCCTGAAATCCAGTGCTTAGACACCCTGTGCTTTCCTGGGACAGGGAACAAGCACCACTTCCCACGAGCTGAACGTCGTTTTGGACAGGATTATTCCAGAATGCATATTTATAGGGCCCATTTTCAAAGGCAGGAGGGTTAATCCTGGCACCCCAGTCAAATCTTCATTGAGGTCATTAAGGCAGGTTTCCCTTTAATTGGACATGATATTCACTTTCATGTCCTGCTCTGAGGAAGGGCTGGGTGAGCCAAGCAATAGCTCTTTAAATTAGGGGCATTGCTCTCCAGAGCCGGAATTTCTGCTGGCAGCAATGAGGATGTTCAGCACGTTATAGGACTGAGCCCATCACTGAATCCTCCTGCACTTAACTGCACCACTGCAAGGAGTTAAGCTCTGACCTTTTCCTCCAGCCCCCAAATATCTCTTCCTAATGATACAGCAAGACCTGGGAGGGATGGACCTGGCTGCCTTGTGATACGGGAAATTTAGGTCAGGAAACGGGAATCAGAAGAGAACGGATAGAAATTGTCCTGCATCACCCCAGCATCTGATAGCAACTTCAGAACTTGCGGGTGATCGACTTTGGCTTAAGAAACTCAGGCAGGTAATAAGAGATTGCAAGATAAACAGCCAGAACCCGGGCTGGGAACGCATCCGCTTCCCGTCCGCGGTTAATGGAGATGGAGAAAGTCCGGCTCTGTTTAGTTGGCTTGATTGCCTGAAGAGGGAAGGGAAAATGAAAAGGGAGGGAAGAGGGAAAATAAAGGCCCCGAGTTTGGGTTTTTTCCCCCCTTCTATTCATTAGGCTGTCAATAATGCTCAGGCCTGGCATATCGACGGCGGATTAGCTCAACCCGACTCTGTGTACAAGACCAATGCCTTTTTAACCCAGCTTGTTTCCAAATCAATACACCCATCAGCATTCGAAAATTAGCCCGAGACGAGATTCCAATACTCAAGCTGGTCTGTCATGTTAAGAGGGCTCCTGGCCAAATCACGGAAGAAGCAGCAGGAAAAAAAAGGTTGCTAGCAAGGGATTAGAAATTTTCCATTAATCTTCCCCGAGGCTAAGAGCTCACCAGGCCCCATCTGTCCCGCCAGGAGGCTCCCTGTTGTCCAGCTCATATCCTGCCACATGGAGACAGGAGCTTTATTCCTTCAACATCCATCTGCTTGACCATCACATGTGGCCATGCTTGTCTGTCCCCTCTCAAGAGCCCTTGTGTGCTCACATGCTCAATGAAGATGCACCCACTTGGACACCAAAAGTCCTCCACCACCCTCCTGCCTTCCTCCTCCTCCTCCTGCTCCCAAAAGTATGGAATTCCAACACACAAACACATATTGTTGCTAGGCATACACACTCCCCCACAAAGCACACAAATCTGCCAGCTCTCTCTTTTCCCCCAGCACAAGTTCTACTTCAAGCAATGCCTCCAGCATGGAAAACAAAAACCCATCAAAACACGACAACAAAAGCAGCATCACGGGTTTGCCAGCGACTGTCAGGAGGCAGTGCTGCCTGTATCAGATCCCTGGGATTATGCCAGGAAAGTCGGATAAATGCACTGCCCAGCTTCACTGGGACACTCCAAGCCGTTTGCACCAAGCTGGGCAAGCTGTGCCTGGGCAAAAAGAAACACAAACCAAAGCCCCAGGCCCAACCCCTCCACGAACTCCTTCGCTCCTACCTTGCACGATGAGGTGGACGCGCGCCGTCTTGGGGTGATTGTCTGTCTGCACGGAGCAGGTGTAGGGGCCCTCATCGTACACGTCCACATCCTGGATCTGGATGCTGTACTGGGTCTTGGTGTTGGCCAGGAGCACCACCCGAGGGTCCAAGCACCACTTGTCATTGCCAGCATAGAGGATGCTGCTGCGGTTCAGCCAGGCCACTCGGGTGACTCGGTTGTCCACGGAGCACCTGGGGAGAGGCAGAGAGGTGACCCATCCGTGCGCTGCTCTTGGGCGCTCTCCCTCCCTTCCCCGACCCTCCTGGTCCTCTGGGAACTATTTTTAGCTCTGCTGTCAGCAGCAGTTTCAGAGACCAAGTGCTTTCAGCGTCCAAAGAGGACAAGGTCAGCACTTTTACCTGAGGTGCTCCATCTAAACTGGTGGCTCCAGAGCTCTGCCCAAGAGCTTCACACTTTTTTCAGATGCGGGGAGGTCAGAGCCACCCAGTACCATCCACCAAAGCACCTTTCACTCCTCTGTTCCCATTTACTCCTTTGCAAACACAGACACAACCAGAGCTGAGCCAAAACCTCCACCCTGAGTTCACAGTACACCTATTTTGGGGCGGGGGGATGCAGGTTGTTACCTCCTGCCCAAGCCCATCACTTGTCACCCTCTCTGCAGACCTTCACATCCCCGCAGCCAGACAAAGAAATGCGAAGCAGTGCCAGGAAAGCAGCTTGTGCTGCTTTACAAAGGAGCAAGGAAAATTTATCTCTGGAGAAAGCCAGCTCTGACACACACCTCTAAAGAGAAACCTTGAGCATCCAACCATTTGTCCCCTCTGTCAGCTCTTCCTTCCCGACCCATCACCTGCATCACTGCACCTCCCTCCCTGCACCTCACCCCAGCTGAGCATTTCACTTGGTGAGGGATGTTTTGGACGTAGAAATCCTCTATATTCAGTCTCATTAAGCAACTGAGCCCCCACCAGGAGACAACACAGCACAAACCCAGAAGAGACTTTGCTCCTGAAGGAGATTATTTTCCTGTCCACATTAGCTGGGACCAGTCTTGCTCCTCCAAAAGGTCCCCACCAGCCCTGTAACCCTCCATCCCCAGATCCCCAAGCAAGGTTTGAACCCCTCATTGCCACGAATGACCTCCAGACAAGCACCAAGCCCTTCTCTGGGCAGCAGAAACCTGCAGCCCCCACAGCCAGCTAAACCCCTGCTTTTCCCAGAGAAAGTTTGGGATTATGGGAGCTGTGCTTTGCTGGATGTTGGCTCCAGAGGATAATGTCCCTGCATAAAACCACTCAGCCTAAGATCCACTGTTTATATTCCTCCCCAAACTACTTCATTACTTGTGCAGGTGCAAATTAACTTGGAAGGCACCGAAAAAGAGCCCAGCAGCCTCAGGGAGGTCTCCCATGGAGTGACCTCATGGAATGTCAGGGGCTTAAGGGGCTCTGCATCCCAGACTGCACTGGCAGGGGAGGGGAGGTTTAGGTTGGATATTAGGGAAAATTTCTTCACTGAAAGGGTTGTCAAGGCCTGGAATGTGCTGCCCAGGGCAGTGGTGGAGCCACCATCCCTGGAGGGATTTAAAAGCCATGTGGATGTGGCACTTGGGAACATGAGCTAGTGGAGGACCTGGCAGTGCTGGGGAATGGTTGGACTGGATGATCTCAAAGTCTTTTTCGACCCTAAAGATCATATAATGCAAGACTTCTCTTCCTGTGTCCACTTCTGATGGCAGAGAAGACACAGGTGCCTGCCTAGGGATAAGTTATTTCATCTCATTCAGCCTCTTTCTGGAGGTATCTCTGTCCCCAGTGATTGCAGGAAAAGCCAAATTAACCCAATCAGCCTCAACACACAACATTTGGGGGTTAGGGGTGATGGACCCCCATGAGGAGACCTGCCCAAGGTGAGAGGGGTTGTCTGCAGCCCAGGACGCCCCTGATTTGCCAGTACCCAATTCCTGTGCCATCCTCCCACTCTGGAGTGAAAAACATCTGATAAATTAAACAATTTTATCGCTGTTCCATGATGATATTACGATAATAATAAATTAAATGTGAGCAGATTTTTATGATCTACATAAAAAAAAGCAATAGATTCAGCCTGGGCTGAACACCAAGAACTTGGCTCTTGCTCTCAGCTGCATTACAACTTGAGTAAAAAACCTGAGAGTTTAGTTGCTCAAGTTAAATTAAACTAGAAATTTCTTCCCAGAGGATGGGTTTAGTCTATTGAACTCCGAACTTCAGCTCTGCTGGTAGCTCAGACCTATGGGGCACGAATAAAATGAATTGGATATTTGGTGTTTGGCTCTGGTACCATGAAATAGGCTCCTGTGGTGGTTCTTCTGCACAAACACAGGGGTGTCCAGGGCTGGGTGATGAGAAACCAGACGTGGCTTGAATTTCTCAGGCCAGTCCCTTCTGCAGACATTTACCCTTGAGGACCTGTAAGCAGGCTGAACTAAAAATATATATTTCCTCTCTCCTCCTCCACGCCAACCTTCTTTATGAAACGCATCAGCTTGGAGATCCTTGGATAATAATGGAGGCAGACAGTGTGCAATCCAAGCATTCCCTCTATCATATGGGCATTTAAGTGCTTTTGAAAAGCAGCGGGGCTCAGGTAACGCATGAGGCAACAGTGAAATAAGTGCTTTTGCCCTTCACAGCACCCAGGCACAATCTCTGCTTATCACCCAGCCACGCTTCCCTGTCCCTGCGATCAGCGAGCTTCAAGCTGCTATTTTATATTCTTCCCTGCCTCTTAAGGCTCCTGAGCCTATATATATATATATATATGTATGTATATATGTATATAATAAAGCACAGAAACAGGTCCTGGGAAAGATGTGCTTTGGCCTCTGGATGTGCTGGGCTATTTAGGGGATGGCAGGTTGTGCTCCTGGCCGAGCACCGTGTCCAACCTGCTCCTCCTCACCCAGGCACCGGTCAGGGCAAGGCTGGTTGCAGCGACCCAGTGCTCTTCCAGCCCCTCCATCTGCTCCCCTTTCCCTCCTCCAGCAGCTCCTCTCTCCAGCAGGGATGGGAAGGCCTCCTCTCCCGCACACAGGCAGCCGAGCGGAAAGCCTTTGGCTTTGGCCGGGAAGCCTCGCTCCAGGCACAGGTGGAGAGCAGAGACACTGCCGAGCCTGCAGCCTCACCCCGCTCCCTGGATGCCTCCTCCACCTCGAGGGAAGTTCCCACTTTCCCTCTCGCCCCATGAGGTGCCAGGGAGGGAGGGAGGGGGGGAAGGGAAAGGTCCTCGGGGCGCCGGAACACAGCCCTCGCCTCCAAAAAGATGATCTAAAAACAATTAGGCACAGATGAGGTAATTTTCTCTCTCAAGATCCTTACTCCTTGTTTCATTCCTGCTCAGATGGTAAGGACTTCTCCTCCAGGAAGATGAAAAACTGCTGTGAGCCAGCACAAGGAGGAGCTGATACTGCTCTGGGTACTGCTCCCTCTCTCTGCCGTTTCTTTCCCAGCAAACCCAGAGCCCCAAGGCTCAGGGTTTCTCCTCTGGGAGATGGAACACTGCTAACTCACCACTGCTGCATCATCCTGGGGGCAGGCAGGGATGGTTGGCAGAGAGATGCATCTCCTCACGCTGCACCAGACCTCTGCCCCCTGCTGCCATGAGGGAGACTCCAAATGACCACAAATTTGGGCATTTTGAGAGTTAAATGCACTGCCAAAAGGCAAGAGTTGCATGTCTACATCCTTCCTACTTGTCCCAAACTGCCTGTTCCTGCCTTTTCCTCACACTCCCAGCTCAGTGACATGTGGTGGTGGCAAATAGGATACAGGCTGGTGCTGCCCTTTCCAAATCCATCAATATCTCCTGCAGCCAAAACTTCTTGGCTTTGTTATCCACCTTCTTTCACCAAGTTGATCCATTAGGGACTGGCTGCTCTCCCCCAAACCATCATCCCCACAGCCTGAGGGGCTGAGATTGTACAGTCAAAAGGGTCCCATGGGTGCAGCCAACAGCCCTGGCTGCAGGGACACCACTCAAAGACAAACTGGAAGAGGGAAAGCAGTGCCATAAGGATTCTGCCATCTCAGGTGACACAAGCACAAAGACGAGCGGCGATGAAAATGCCAGCAAAGCCCTTGGTGGGGACAAGACAGCCCCACAATCAAATATCAGGAATAAATAAACAACAGGGTGCTGAAAATGAGTGCCCTGACCACTGATCCCACTCGTGCCTCATGCAGCCCCTGGTACCTCCCTGCAACGCCAGCACAGACGGCACATGCCAGCAGTGACATGCCCTTCTGAATTCCTCTCTTTGCTTTCCTGAGTTTGCACACAGCAAATGACAGGAGAGGAGGTAGGTTGGCAGTGGGGGGAAGGAGGTTTTTAATTACTGAAGTGTAGTAATTGGCACACAACACTTTTTTTTTTTTTTTTTTTTTGGTTGCCTCTTATGCAGATTGCTGGTGTTCCAGAGGGCTGGGCTGGAGAGCACAGATTGTCTCAACCCAGCAGGACACACAAGAAATGAATAATGTTAATTAGAACTGAAAAGAGCTCAGCAAAATTACCAACCTGATTGCTGCTTTCGTTGCAATTATCAGGGTACAAGCTCCATCACGGGGAGGCAAGGACGGGGCTAAGCCTGGCTCACCCCAGCCAACGTGGTGGCCCAACCTGGGCTCTGACCAAGCTGGCCCTTCCTGATCTCACTTCTCCTTCCACCACCACCTAATTTTCACTGCAGGCCCAGCCTAGAGAAACCACCTTCCCAAATCCAAGCCACTCTGTGGAGTTTCACAACTACACCGACCCACCGCAGAATTCCTTAGGTTGGAAAAGACCTTTAAGACCACTGAGTCAACCCAGCACTGCCAAGCTACCATCCCTAGGTGTCTTCTCTTTTTCTTCCCAGTCTAACTCAGCAATTCCCAGACAACTCTGGATTCTGAATCAATCTCTTCCACACCAGCAGGGTTATGTCTCTGCTAAACCAAGCTGGAAGTCAGGAATAAGCTTGGGGTTTAGAATAAAACTGTGTGCAAATCCTCCCGCTGAGGCTGGGCAAGGAGAAAGGGTGCTCTGGCCCTGCCTCATCTCCAGCATCCTGTGCCCCAGGCATCACCTTCCAGCCCCTGCACCACCAGCTGAGCTATAAATGATCGACTAAACCAGCCACTGCTGGAGGCAGGAGCTCCACATCTCAGATTTATTTCTGTGATTATCACATTTTATTGTTATTTAT